TGCCGAGAAAGGCGGAGGCGAAAAGATACCGGCCTGGCTGGGATAGTATGACTTCATATTTAGGATGGACCACTGTCCAGAATCCCACCAGCCCTTTGGGCGTGAGTGGTTTAGAGAGCCCGCTCTGTTCTCAACCCCCTTCTTCCCCTTCGGGGAGGGGTTTACCCCTCCCCCTACCCCCTCCCCCTGGGCCTGGAGAGGGCGTTCCGCGGGTGGTTGGGGGGGTCTTTTTCGACTCCTGGGAGGGCTAAAACTCGACACCCCTCACGAGGATTCTGGCCCCGACGGGGGGAGGGAGAAAAATGCTCGCCTCTTCTTTGAAGCGAAAATCATTGATTTTACTAAGGTTTTGGCCCCATCTTGGCCTTCTAAGGGGGCAGCGCTAATTAAAGCCCCCCTCTTCGTAGAATTCAAAATCAATGATTTTACTAGGGTTTTGGCCCCAGTTTGGCCTTCTGAGGGGGCAGCGCTCATTGAAGCTCCCCTCTTCTTTGATCGATTTCCTCCAAGATGGCCCCAAGAAGCGCCCAGGAGGCACCAAGAGGCCCCAAGATGGCCCCAAGATGGCCCCAAGAGGCCCCCAGGAGGCCCCCAAGAGGATCCCAAACGGCCCAAAGAGGCCCCCCCGAGGCACCCAAGACGCCGAAAAGCCCCTCAGGACGACCCTCTACTCGCCTGGGCGTCGTTTCTGGACGGGCTGGTGGGGATACGCGAAGCGTAAAGAATTATATGTACATTGCAATACGAAAAGGTGTACCGTTAAATTCGGGGGGGTAAAAAATAGAAAAGATAATGTACGTTGTGCAATCCACGCGGTGCGCCATTCATGTTGCGCAAGCTACGTGGTGCAGTCCATGCGGTGCAAGCAATTTCTGTTCGCAATGAGTTGTCCACTCCACTGCTCGCGCAAACATCCCACCCACCCACCCGCAACTTGGTTTACAAACCTCATGCGGCGGCGATTGCGATGACTGCTTGGCGATGGCAAGTGCATCTCTGGCGCTCGAACGATTTCGACACGCGCGCGCGAGCCCGTGTGGTAGCATCTTCTGGAAATAGAAAATTCTATGGTTGTCTTAAGAAGTCGCAAGGGCGCGCGCAAGATTTGTTTTGAAAATCCGCGCTGCGAAACACTATGTTGTTATGTGGTTTGGACACTCGATTTCGAAATCCTTCCGGAACAGAAAGTTCTTGAAGCATTTCGGCATGCGCGCGCGACGACGCGCGCGTGCGCACTTCGTCCCATGTGTTGTAAGAGATTGTTGGGAAGTTGTGATTCTTGATAAAGGAATATGCGCGCATACAATTCTATTGCAAAGGATGGCGCGGGGGGGCGGGACCGGCTTGGCTGGGATAGTATGAACTCACAAGTCGGATGGACATTGGGGCAGGATCAAAAGCAAATTGCCATACGAAAAAAATGAATGGGTAAGTCCGGGGGGGAAGGGTGGTAGAACCTATCTCTTTCTCAAAAAGAGAAAAAAGAATTGACCACGCTGCACCGTGCGTGACCACCTCCCACGCTTGTGCAAACATCCCACCCTCCCAACCGCATCTTGGTCGGCAAAACTCGCGAGGTCGCAACTGCAGTTACAGCGTGGAACTCGCCCGCACATGTCATCAAGCTCACTGGCACGCTGACCCTCGCGGCGCGGGTAAAGTCCATCTTGCGGGAGACAACGCGGACGACAGCGTCGACAAACGACGATGTGGTGGTTGGCAGAACTCATAATGGCGCGAGTACCATTACACTGTGGAGCTCCTCCGACAATTTCATCGTGTTCATTGGCGCGCGGACGCTCGTCGCGCGGGTAAAGTCCATCTTGCGGGAGACAGCGCGGACGACGACGTCGACAAACGACGATGAAAATGATCACGACGATTGTGACGGCAATGATGACGATGACGGTGCCCCGCATGGAACTATTTGACACGGATCATACCCCTGGTAAGCGCGCGAGGGCAGTGGAAGAAGTTCGACATGCGCGCGCGAAGGCCTCCTTGGACAGGAAAGTTGAGAAAAGAAGTGGGTTCCCTGGGGATCCGCAAGAGCGCGCGGGATGAAATGTTGAAAACCATTGTTTTTGTGAGATATATATATATATATATATATATAAAAAAAAAAAAAAAAAAAAAAAAAAAAAAAAAAAAAAAAAAAAAAAAAAAAAAAAAAAAAAAAAAAAAATCGTCTTGCGCGCGCGCACGTGGCCCCCATGGTATTTGTTCGAAAGGATTCGCGCATCCAGCCCATTTTATATCAACGCATGCGCACCGCATGATATAGTGTGACAATGATGAGGAGGGAGCCGGTACCGGGACTAGCTGGGATGGTATGAGTTCATGCGGAAAATGGACAAGGAGGCAGAATCAGATGTAACTAGCACTACCTCAGGACGGAGTGGTAATCCCGGGGGGGGCGGGGGTAGAAACTAATTTCTTTCAAAAAAAGAGAGAGCGAATAACTTCTCGCAGTGAATGGTGGACTCCACTACTCGCGTAACCATCACACCCACCCGCACTTTGGCTTACAAAACCCACGCGGCGGCGATTGCGATGAGTGTTCGGCGTTGGCTGGTGCATCTCCGCGGCCGCGCTAGCCCGCGCATGCTCGCGCGCGTGGCGCCCAGCTAGTTTGGCGCGACCGACGCGGCCGCGGTGTCGTTGACCACTAGGCGCATCCCAGCGGGCACTTCAATGCGAGTCGGCGACTTGGGCAGACGCGGTATCATGGCAACGTCAACAACGGCAGACAGGATAATGGCGGCAGCGCTGCTGGTGACGACGATGACAACGACGGCGGCAAGGCCACGCCGACGACGATGACGGCGTCCTCGCGTCGGTGATGAAGCTTTTGGAGAGAGCTCGACGCGCGCGCGCGCGGCCGACGCGCGAGAGTGGCCCGCATGGTGTTATTTGACACGGATCGGGCCCCCCCCCCTCCACCACGTGCGAAAAGGCGTCCGAATGATGTCCACATGCGGCGCGGGAGATCCCTTTGGCAGAATGCACTGGAAATGTTGAACAACCTATGGTGTTCGGAAGACTTCGCAGGAGCGCCGCGAGCGCAGACATGTTTGACATGTGATGTTGCAATGCAATTTGTTGTCAGATGTTTACAGGGAATTCGATTTTGAAATCCCTGGGAACCCTAAGGTTTTGTAAGGATGTCGGCATGCGCGCGACGACGCTCGCGTGCACTTCGTCCCGTTTTCAGACAGGGGTTCTTGCGACAGCACGCGCGCAAGGGCGTTCGACGGACATCAACATGCGCGTGCGAGAAGCACGTCTGGTAGCATGGTATGATAATAGATTTATTCTATTTTTAGAATAAAAAACAAAGAAAAAAAGAAAACTTGCTTCACGAATTCGCACGAACGCGGGCGCAGGTCGTTTGTTGAAGTTCTTGTTGCGCAACCCTGTGTTTATCTGTGCTCGGAGCACTCGAGCATAACGTGTTCGAGGTATTTCGGCATGCGCGCGCGACGACACGCGCGCGTGCACTTCGTCCCGTGTGTTGCAAAGGTTTTTTGAAAACTAATGATTTTGATAAACGAGTGCGCGCATATATATATATATATATATATATAGATATATATATAGATTATTATATATATATATATAAATATATACAGATGCAGAGCATGAAGGGGGGATACGGGCCTGCCTGGGATGGTATGAATTCGCACTCAAGATGGACGATGGGGCGGCATCATTTGTAAATCGCAATACAAAAAAAGTCGTCAACGATCCTGATACCCTTTTAGAAGCAGAATCTACGCAGTGCGATCTAGGGCGGCGACGATGCGGCGACGGGGCGGCGACGGAGGCGACATAGCCGCCAGACCGGCAGACAGGCCCAGACGACGGGCGGCGACGAGGCGGCGACGGGGCGGCGACGGCGGCTACATAGCCGCCAGAGTGACACACAGGCCCAATCTCTTAGAAGACAATTCAGAACCCCTGAGTGCAAGCACTGCTTGAGGCATCAACTTTCGGAGCTCCACGCGGATTTCTTGGACATGCGCTGGAGCCTCCTGGCGGCACCTCCAGCGCCGCCTATGGCGCGCTCCGCGCGCCAGGATGGGGAGGCCGGCGCCGACGGAAGAAACCCGCGCGGAGCTCCGAAAGTTGACGGTTATGCCAGCATGTCTGCTTCAATCGCAAGCATCATCCGACCGGCAAGGCCTCGGGTTGCGCACAGACAGCCTCCCCAGGCAGTCCAGGCTGGCCTCAACAGGCTCCACAAGCAGTCGCAGCTGGCCTCAACAGGCCCCGAGGCGGTCGCAGCACCCCCAGCCCTGGAGCGATCTGTGCCCCAAGAGCGCCGCTGGAGGCGGCGCCGGGCTGTTGAGCCCGCCCCAGGCTACTCGGGGGGCGGGGGGGCCTGTTGAGGCCAGCTGGGATTGCTCGGGGGGGCTGCTGAGGCCAGCCAGGAATACCGGGTGTCTGCGCGCAACGCGAAGCCTTGCCGCATCCGACGGCTTGAAAGGATCGGGGCGGAGACTTCTCGCCGATTGCGGCCTCCGACGGCCCTCGCCTGGCCCCGGGAGCGTCTATAGACTTGCCCTGAAGAGAGGGTCGGGACTTCTGGGGGCCCCGCATTGCGAAGATCCAGATACGGGATTCCAGGGTTGGAACAACAAGATCGGCATGACGCTGGAGCCCTTTGGTCGGCGCTGGATCCCCCAACCCTGGCGGCGCTTCCTCCTCGATTATGGCATCTGGGGCCGTTTACGGGCACCATGGAACAAATGCCCCCCCAGAAGGGGTCAGGACGTCTGGGGCCCGCGGACTTAAAGCACATTGTCGTCGGATGTCTGGGTATGCACAGAAACCGATCCTGGCCAGAAACCCAGCCTGGGCACCCGGATCGGTGTATACGCCCTCCTGGCTAGGCCAGAGTGGAGTATGCACCGATCCCAGGGGCATGGTTCTCTTCGCCCGAGCGCCAGTGCAGGGGGCTGCAGCAGCTACCGCTGCAGCACCCCTGGCAGCGTGACCTATGCAGTCGGAGACGTCGATCGCGCACCAGTCTACGGAGGGCACCCGGCAGGGCACGGTGGGGACGCACCCGGACGCATCGAAGACGATGCCGCAGGTGTCGGGGTCGGAGATGCAGCTCGCCACCGCGGTGCCCGTGTAGCCCGCCGCGCATTCCCAGCCGTCCTGCCCCAGCACGTACCCGGCAGGGGCTGCGCCTGCGGCCGCGCAGTCCAGCACGCACTCTGGGAGCGACAGCGCCTGGGACGCAGGGGGGGAGAGGAGGGGGAGAGGAGGGAGGGAGGGAGGGAGGGAGGGAGGGAGGGAGGGAGAGAGGGACATACTGGCACTGTGTGGCCAGGTGTCCCCTTTGGCGGCCTGCGTCCGACCAGATCATCTGGTACGACCACCTTTTCTTTTGCATGTGATGCTCAAGTAGAACATGGAGAGAGACACAAAAAAAAAATGCCCCAGCGGTACGGCCAGAAGGCGCCCGCCACCGAGCACATGCGATAAGATTTCTGCGCACGCGCGTCGCACCCCTGGGGGCGGCGCACACATACAGCGGAGGCCAGACCACAAGAAACCTTCCGCAAGAAGCCCAGCCCTGAGACCCCAGGGCGTTCATTGATTTTTGGTGTGGGAACGCCACGCTTGCCATCGCAAAACCGTCGAAACCCAAGAGACCCAGGGCAGCCTGGAGGCAAGCAGGGTGTTTCCTGGCATGGGTCTCCGCTGTAGTATGAATTCGTATGTCTGGGGGACGCCGCGGCGCCAGCGCTGTATCGTTGTTCAGGTTGCTGTCGGGACAGCTGGTAGACGCGCTCTCGCCCACGTAGGGCCACCTGCAGGCCACGGCGCAGGAGCCGCCGGCGGCGATGCCGCCGGCGCAGCTGGAGGCGTCGTACCTGCAGGACGCCCGCAGGGACTGCGGCGCCGCCGTGCAGGGGGCCGCCGCGCGGCAGCCCCAGAGCTCCAGGGGCCCCGCCGTGCACCCTCGCCCGGCCGAGCGAAAGACCAGGGTTAGGTCGGGCGTGTCCTCCTACAGGCGAATTTTCGAGGAAAGATGCAAAATAGTCTAACATGATCGACCCACGAACCCGGAAAGGAATATAGACATGTAAAGCATGGCAACGTTTCAAAGACACCTGATTGACCGACGGGCAAATGCAATACTGAATGTATCGATCTTGATGTACTGTGCCGAGGGTTGTGCTGCGCTACGCCGTGCTGAACTGCGATGTGTCATGCCGTGATTGTGCTATATATAGCGTTGTGGATCGAGTCCTCCCTGGCATCCGAGTCCTGACCGAACTGATCTGGATCTTAAGCTCGAGCTGCCTGAGCAGATGGTAGCTGCCCCAAAACTAATCGACAGAGGGGACATGCCAGGAGGACGCGCCACGGAATGTCCCAAGGGACGCGCCAGGCGACGTGCCAGGGGACGCGCCATGGGGACGCACCGCGGGACGTGCCATGGGGACGCGCTACGGAACGTGCCAATGGACGTGCCGCGGGACGTGCATAGCGTTGTGGATCGAGTCCTCCCTGGCATCCGAGTCCTGACCGAACTGATCTGGATCTTAAGCTCGAGCTGCCTGAGCAGATGTTAGCTGCCCCAAGAACTAATCGACAGGGGGACATGCCAGGAGGATCCAGGAGGACGCGCCGCGGAACGTCCCAAGGGACGCGCCAGGCGACGTGCCAAGGGACGTGCCATGGGCACGCACCGCGGGACGTGCCAAGGGGACGCGCTACGGAACGTGCCAATGGACGTGCCGAGGGACGTGCCAGGGGGACTCGCCACGGGACGCTCCGCGGAACGTGCCAGGCAACATGCCAGGCTGCAATGCTAAGAGTATCGATATTGATGTACCGTGCCGAGGGCTGTGCTGTGCCTGGGCGACCTGGACACGTGAAAACACGCGTTTCGCTCAAGACGTTCTCAGCACATCCTCATGCTAGACATCCGCCTGGGCAACCTGGACACGTGCAAACAAGCGTCTGGATCGAGACTTCCTCGACACATCCTCATGCTAGACATCCGGCTGGGCGACCTGGACACGCGAAAAAAAGCCTCTGGTTCGAGACATCCTCAACAAATCCTCATGCTAGACATCTGTCTCGGCAACCTGGAGGCGTGAAACCAAGCGTCTCGCTCGAGACATCCTCAAAACCTGGCCACCTGAAAACAAGCATTTCACTTGAGAGATCATCTGAATTCAGGTCCCCAGGAGAGGCCAATCTATAACACAAAACAAGCGTCTCGCTCGAGACATCCTCAGCAAATTATGAAAAACAAGCGTTTCGCACGAGACATCCTGAAATTTTAATCCGCCGGCCCACCTCGACTTCAATGTTTATCAGGGAAAGAATCCGCCGGCCCACCTCAGTTGAGGCACCGGAGACAGGTTTACCAACCAAAAGAGAACCCTGGGCCGGCGCCCTTTCCGGGAAAAAATAAATCAAAACAGTCCAATTGTCCAAGACAGTCAAAACTGATCCAAAAATAACCGAATATCCAGAATAGTCAAATTGTCGAAACATCGTCCCCAGACTTTTGTTTGACTGTTTTGTTTGAAGACTCCTCCTGCAGAGAGACAGGCCCGACTTGAGACCAGGGGGGACAGGCTGAGCGGGAGGCCAGGTCGGACATGCATCCGCTCGGCTGCACCGCAGGAGTGGCCCCAGGCACGACTGCCCACCAGACCACCCCAACACCCAACCCGAAGACCCAAAATTTCGGGCTGGGGGGGAGGAGGAGGAGGAGGAGGAGGAGGAGGAGGAGGAGGAGGAGGAGGAGGAGGAGGAGGAGGAGGAGGAGGAGCGAGGGGAGGAGGGGAGGACAGGAGAGACACGGAAGAGGAGGAGAGGATGACATCAAGGTGCGCTCGCGTCATATCGGACGTCCTACCCCTCCCTCCCATCCCTTACCATGGCGCTGATTTTCTCTATCCGCGGACGCGTGTCGTAGCGAACCTGTGGCTCCGCGCGCGCGTGCGTAGTGGGTGGTGGTGCGCGTGCGTGCGTGCGTGCGTGTGTGCGTGGTTGTCGTGGTGGTGGTGGTGGTGGTGGTGGTGGTTGTGGTAGTGGTGGTGGTGGTGGTGGTGGTGGTGGTGGTGGTGGTGTGGTGGTGGTGTGTGGTGGTGGGGGTGTGGTGGTGGGTGGTGGTTGGGTGTGGTGGTGGTGGTGGTGGTGTGGGTGGTTGTGGTGTGGGTGGTGGTGGTGTGGTGGTGGTGGTGGTGGTGGTGGTGGTGGTGGTGGTGGTGGTGGTGTGTGGTGGTGGTGGGTGGTGGTGTGGGTGGTGGTGGTGGTGCTGTGGTGCTGGTGGTGCTGGTGGTGCTGGTGGTGCTGGTGGTTGCTGGTGTGCTGGTGGTGCTGGTGCTGGTGCTGTGCTGGTGCTGGTGCTGGTGCTGGTGGCATGTGGTGGTGGTTGTTCTGGTGGTGCTGTGGTGCTGGTGTTGGGGGTGGTGTGGTGGTGGTGGTGGTGGTGGTGGTGGTGGTGGTGGGTGGTTGTGATGGTGGAGGTGGTGGTGGTGGTGGTGGTGGTGGTGGTGGTGGTGCGCGGTGGTGGCGGGCGGATGGGCGCGCGAGAAAGAGGCCCGCGCTGGGGCGAGAACGCCATCCTGAACGACGGAGGCCCAACACCGATCCGAAAATGAGACCCACGCTGCAGCGGGAGCACGATTCGGAACGATTCGGGAGCAGAAATGAGGCCGGCGCCTCAGCGAGAGCAGCATTTTGGGAAAAAACGCAGGCGAAAACCCGTTTCCCGGGAATCCTGTGTGTAAAAAACAATACGCGGGGGGGGTCGGATATCTTCGGGACGCCATCAGGGGAAGTGGGAGAGTATTTTCATATTGTGCAATTGTGGAGGAGGAGGAGTAGGAGAAGGAGGAGGAGGAGGAGGAGGAGGAGGAGGGTTCCACATGTGTTTTTGTTCCATGTTCCCCGGCGACCCCACCCCTGTGGAAACAGGAAGCAAAGCGGGACCTTCGGGTTGGGGGTTGGGGTGGCTTGGTGGGCGGTGACGGCAAGAGTGGCGTCTGATGGGCGCAGCTTGGGGGGCAGCGGGGAGGCCAAATCCGCGAGCGCAGGCAGGGGTTGGGAGACCCCCTGTGAAGCCCACACCGTGGCGAAGGGCCACTCTTGCGCGCAGCCAGCTCTTAGGGCTCCCCCTCTCGCCATCGTCACCACGCGCCGAGGGAAGCGTGCCCGGAGGGCCGGCTCCAACGCGCAGACGGCACCTGCACACCGCCACCACACGCCCCGGCCTGGGCCCTCCTGGGCCCTGTGCCGTGTCGTGTCGTGCCGACTTCGGCGCTGGCTTCTGACACCGCGGGGATCGCTCCACCTTGAACGATTGGCCGTTTCCGAAAAGGTCAGATCGCTCCACCTCCGCCGATTCTGGGCCGCCAGCGGCGCCCCGCGTAGAACGCCAGCGGCGGGGTCGCCGCCGGTCGACACGACGCGGACCGACCGTACACCATCCAGGGCCCAGAGTGCCCCTGGCCAGGCATGGTGGTGTGTCGTCGGCTTCTGCGGATGCAAGCCCCAGCCCTCCCAGGCACCACGACAGCCAGACCATGTGGCACTTTCGGTCGGCGGGCCTCGCTCGTCTGCCTCGCACAGCACCTCGACGGTGCCCGCGTAGCCGGCGCTGCACTCCCAGCCGCCGTCTGCGCCCAGGGAGTAGCCGGCGGGCAGCGGCGCCGGGGGCGCGCACTCGGTCTCGCAGGGCAGGCCGACCTCGTGCCACGGTGGCCAGGCCGCCCGGTGGTAAGACGACGGCAGGGAGAAGATCAGGTTGGGCAGAGGCCACCCGAGTTTCTGAGGACCTGCGTGCTCGGAGGATGCATCGGCGCCGCAGGCGGCTCCCGCTCGTGCTCGGGCCTGCCTGAGCCGGTCCGGGGGGGCCAGGGATGCCCGAGCAGAGCCGGGGCGCGCTCCGCCCGAGATCGTTCCTGACTTCCCTGGCTCACTGGGATACGCCACGAAAAAGAAATACACAGACCCGCCGCCGAATTTCGCCTGTGCATCTAGGGAGGTTGGCGGTGTATACAGTCGCTGACTCTCAGTGGTGATGCATACACCGTCGCCCACTCCTGAGGCCAAGGGAAAATCCACTGGGGGGTCTGTGTATATATTTTCGTGGAGGGTGGGATTATCCAGCTACCACTGGCCTCGTAGCAGCCCGTCAGCTCCGCTGTGGGGTAGCAGCAGTCCTCCAAGCGCGCACAATTCAGCGCGGGGCTACCCGAATAGCCAGGCGCACACTGCCACCTTGAGGACCGTTTGAACAGATCTTGCAACGCCGCTGGGTCTAGAATTATCGGGCAGGAATTATTTCGAGGTCGGGCAAGTCCTCTGACAGGCGGATGTGGGATGAAAAATTATCTAAATCAAGAAATTCAAAAATAGTCAAAAATAGTCGAAGAATCGTCCCCAGACTATTTGTTGACTATTTTTGAAGACTCCTCCTGTAGATGGACGTGCCCGACTCAAAATCCGCCGACCCCTTGGGGTCACGGCGTGTGAAATGCATCCCCCTCCCCAAACCCATCCCCCGGGGGCCTGGTCCGGCCGGTTTGGAGGGGGGGGGAGGGGGGACAAATCCATCATCCGCACACTTGGAGCCTCAGGAGGCCCCAAAACGAGCCAAAAAGGTTCCAAAGGTTCCTGGAACTGTCCAAGAGATTACGAATCGACGAAAAATCGCCCCAAAACGCCGAAGATTGCCTCCACACGGCTCCATAAGTCCCCAAGACGTTTGAAACAATATTACGAGGCGCCCTAAAAAGGCCCTCCACAAGCAAAAATCGTCCGATTCCCTCGGGGAAACGTACATTTTCACCACATTCGCCTATTCGGCTTCCACGGGCCGCAAGACGGCCCAAGAAGCCTCCAAGATCAACCCGCGCCAGCCCAAGAGGCTCCCAGAAAAGCTCCAAGACGGCGTGCGGGCGATCCACGAAGGCTCCAGAAACCATAGCAACGGCTAAGGAAAGCCGCAGGACGGTCCCAAGAGAGCTCCAAAACGGGCGGCCAAGAGTGCTCCCAAAGGCTGTCCGGACGGCCCACGCGGGGGACGATTCGGTCCAAACCGCCTAAGATCGCCGCCAGACGGCCCCATGGGTGTCAAAGACGCTTGAAAACGCGACCACGAGGCGCGCCAAGAAGGCCTCAACAAGCAAAAACCGCCCCAGTCCCAAGGTAAAACGAATATTTTCATCACATTCGCTTCTTGGGCTTTCACGAGGCCCACAACGGCACAATAAACCTCCAAGATCGACCCCTGTCACCCGAAGAGGCTCCCAAGAAGGCTCCAAGACGGCTTCCGGGCGATCCACGAAGGCTCCAGAAACCATAGCAACGGCCCAGGAAAGCCGCAGGACGGTCCGAAGAGGGCTCCAAAACGGGCAAAGAGGGCTCGCAAAGGCTGCCCGGACGGCCCACGCGGGCGACGATTCGGTCCAAACCGCCCACGATTGCCTCCAGACAGCCCCATGGGCGTCCAAGATGTTTGCATACGCGACCACGAGGCGCTCCAAGCAGGCCTCCAGAAGCAAAAACCGTCCCGTTCCCCGGGGAAAACGTACATTTTCAGCATATTCGCTTCTTGGGTTTCCTTAAGGCCCACAACGGCCCAGTAAACCTCCAAGATCGACCTCTGGACTCTCCAAAAGGCTCCACGACGGCCTCCGGGCGCCCCACGAAGGCCCCAGAAACCATAGCAACGGCCCGGGGGAACGGCAGGACGGTCCTAAGAGGGCTCCAAAACGTGTCTAGAGGGGCCTCACAGGCTGCCCGGACAGGCCACGCGGGGGACGATTGCTGCCGCCCCAAGGGGTCGGCGGTGTGGCGTAAGCCAATGAATCCACGTCCGGAGGTGACGTGCTGAGCGGTAGCGTTTTTCTGAGCGGTAGCGTTTTCCGGCGAACGGCCTTAATGCTCTAACGTACGCCATGTATCCATTTGCACAAACGATACATATTGTGTTTTCTGTTACTTTATTAAGTCTCCCCCCTAAACCCCACCCCTGTACTAAATTCCACAGCGCCGTACCAAAAGTTGGCCCCCCTCATTCTGGACCCCAAACCTACAAAAACCTACGTAAAATCAACAATTTCGGCCTCTTCGGCCTCTATTGCGGAATTGACACATATTGTGTTTTGTTACATTATTATGTCTCCCCCCCTAACCCCCCCCTGGAGTCGCGCCACAGCGCCGTACCAAAAGTTGGCCCCCCTCATTCTGGACCCCAAACCTACAAAAACCGATGTAAAATCAACAATTTCGGCCTCTTCGGCCTCTTGGGACTCCAAGAAGGCGTCAAGGGGGTTCCAGGATGGCCCCATGACGGCCCAAGACGGCCCAATACGGCCCCAAGACGGCCCCAGATGGTCCCAAGAGGGCCCGTCAGGCCCCCAAGACGGCCCAAGAGGGCCCCAAAATGATCCCAAAGGGCGCCTCCATGAGCCAAAATCATAAATTACCCAATGGCTTTTTAATAATTTTCGCGTTCTCGCCCCTTGCCTGGCTCTCATATGACCATTGATCACTTCCCTAACCAGCCTCAATCGAGAACCCCCAGACGGCCCACGAGGCCCCCATGGAGGTTCCAAGATGGCCCAAGGGGGCCCGACACGGCCAAAAGAGGCCCCCATGACGGGCCAAGGGGTCTCCAAGACGGGCGAAGGAGACTCCCAAAGAGCCCCAAGGCGGCCGCGAGAGGCCTCCAAGATGGCCTCCGAAGGGGCTGGGCGGCGCAAGAGCGCCCCAAGACGGCGCAAGACGCAAGAAGAAGCCCCGAGAGGCCCCAAGGCGGCCCCAAAGATGCCCCAAGAGGATCCCTGGAGGCTTCCACGAAGCTCCCATGAGCCCTTCCAGGACACCGCCTCAAGCCCCGGGGATGGCAGGCCGGAGCGGCACACGCGCGCGGAGGCCGAGCATGTCACGCCATGTAACGCCAACATTTTCCACAGTTCTCCACGGCGGCGATGACCAGTTCGGATCGGATGCGCGGCGCCTACTCTGCCCGCCTGCAAGCGCGGCGCCTACTCTGCCCGCCTGCAAGCGGGGCAGAGCATGTCTGCTTTGTCGCGCTGGGAACTCTTCACGGCTGCTCGCATAAACACTGCCGAGCACTGGGCGCATTTCAGCCCCCCGCGCGGATCCCGGCACTGAGCGCAGGTCCACTCTTTCATGTTCCACACTCTGTACTTGGCCGTCTTCGGCCGCGGAGTCGTGCCACATCTCGCGCACGGCGGGAATTTGCAAGACTCGCACCAAAAACCGGTGCTGTACGTCAAGCGGTCTGGAGGCCTTGCTCCGCAGCCTCCCTGACAGAGGGGCTTCCATTTTTCGTCGAGACATTCTGTGCACGCGGCGTCTTTGACGCTCTTGTGCATCTTAAAAAAGGCTGCATCAAACTGATCCGCTGCCTTCTCCTGCGAGCAGATGCGGCACTTAAAAAGGCGGCCCTCCGACATAATGTTGAAATGCTGCCTCTCAGGGGGTGCAAGCGACGCAAACGGCAAGGTCCAGCGCCCCTCTTCCCGTCAAGTCATTGACCTCGCTGCGTCTGAAGTTCTTTAACGATTTAGTCTCCTTGCAGCGATTGCAGACGAGCACGTCTCTGCCTTTCGCGGCGAATGGCTCTGCAGCCGCGGCGGGCGCGCCCGCAGCAGAGGTCCGCTTCTGCGCGCACAGGGCGCACCTCCTCCACGCGCCCTGGCACAGCAACGCCACGGCGTGCTCTACGGGGTCGCTCGTTCTCATGCCGCTGCCTGGGAAGTTGCCCGCTCTCTTCCGCTGGTGGCAGTCGGCGCACTGGAAAGTGACGTCCACCAATTTCTTGGACGACCTGGACGCGGCTTCCTTCTCTGCCTTGGCCCAGCCGGCTTCCGCCTGCTCCGTCGTCATCTCCCCGGCTGTCAGGGAGTGCAAGAGCCATGGGCCCGTCTGATGCCCCTGGCGGAAAAGCATGGGCGAAAAAGGCTGCGTGATGATCAGATCGTCAGCCCTCCTGGTGCGGCTGATGGCCACGTAGCCCGTGGGGACCATGGCTGCGCGGGGCGTCGTGCGCGCGTCCAGGAGGTCGATAATGGCCTGCGGCAGCGTGGCGCCGGTGACGCAGTGGGCCGTGGCGGCGAAGTGCGGGACCAGCGGGAACCCCGCGCGCTTCTCCATGGCCTTGAAGCCGGGACTGCGATCCCAGGACACCTCCCTCTGCTTCACGGGGAAGACGCCCGCGGGCTGATTCCCAAAGAATGCCGAATAAATAACGTAAAATAAATCAAAAAACATTCTAAGTAAAATAAAAAAAAAGAAAAAACAAAAAAATACAAAATAAACTAATAATCATAATAACCCAAATAAAAAGAAAAAAAAAAAAATAAAAAAAAAAGGCTGGGGGCCGTGAGTTCCCGGGAAATGCCACCATGGAATCGCCTCGGGCACGTGCTGCAGGACCAGCTCCGGCTCGGACCTGTGGTCTTTCACCAACTTCGAGTCGTCGGGGTGGAGGACCCAGCCCGTCACGGTACCCCAGGAGTGCTTGCAGGCTCCCGCCTCCGCATTCTCCGTGGTGGTGAACCGCGCCCGCATCCCCTCGAAGATCGGCAGCACACCCGGAACTCCGCCAGTCTTGTTCTCGGGGTACATGAGCCAGTTCTGCCTGGCGTGGGAGAGCGACTCCGTCGACCTGCATGCGTCGTCCCGAGTGAGGGGACATCGCGCGCCACCACCCAGAGGAGCTGCTTCCCAGCATTGGCTGCCGCATTCGCCGCTCGCAGCGTCAGAATCCTGCTCTTCGGGGCGTTGTACGGGTGCACGAACAGCGCGTCCGCGAACGCCGTGCTCACCTCCCGCTGTCTGGCATCGCTCTGAGAGGCGACGCGGCAGCGCCGATGGCGTTCCGCGCTGCACTCAGCGCACTCCAGGGATTTCATGTCCTCCCAGGCCCGACCTTCTCCGAACATCCGTGGCCACTCAACTGACCAGAGCGCGCGGCACTTCGCCTTCCCGCAGCCGAAGTGCCCCGTCGAGGCCTCGGCGCTGCCGGGGCTTGCGGGCATCCAGGAGCCGGGCACATCAGTGGGGAAGCCGTGGACGAAATCGTACATCCTGTCCGACAGATTCCCAGCGCGCGCTTCGGCGAGAAAGCTTCTCCACCACACGTCTGAGCAGCGGTGCGACTGGGCCAGGGCGTAGCGGTTAGTCACCGAGTGCGGCAAGCCCTCTGTCCAGAACATCTCCAGTATGCGGCCGACGTTGGCGGGTCTCTTCACAAATGGGTTGGCGGCAATACTGAGACTCCTGACGGGCGGTATCTGCCATAAGTCCCCGAGCAGCACCAGGTTGAGCCCTCCGAACATGGCGAACTGTTTTGGAACGCGTGCGTCCACGGCCCAGGGGTTTCCCTTGTCCCTCGTCGAGTCCTTCACCTGCCTGTGCACGGCGTCCAGCAACTCCACCGAAACGTTCTCCACCTCGTCGATGATGAGCCAGCGCATGTGCTGGATTTTCGTGTGCAGCATGTTCTCCGACAACTCCGGGTCCTTCTTCCCGCCGGACTGGACTCCCGTGATGAGGTCGATTCCGAGCTTGCTGAAGTTGTGGATGGTTCGCCCACCGATGTTGCTCGCCATGGAAGTCATGGGGGCGGTCTTGATGAAGTGCACCTCGTGTTCCCATCCCATGCACGTGGGGAACAGCCCCACGCCCTCCTCGCACAGCCACCGGATGACCTCCGATTTCCCTGAACCCGGCAGGCCGAGAACGAACAGCCGGGAGCATGGCGATCCGCGCAGCTGGTCCTGCTCGCGGGCCTCCTGGACGCACCTGTCGGCGACGGCGTCCAGGATGCTCATCTGCTGCGGGTCGGGGGTGATCTGGTGCGTCTGCAGTCCTGCGATCGGGCAGGGATGCGCATGGCCTTGCCTCCCTTCACACTACCCACCTTACCGACGACTGCTGCACAACCCTGTCTGCTACACATCACACGTGCCGCGCCACCTGCCTGGCATGCCCAGACGTGTATACATCTGGGAAGTCCATGTTTATACATACACACACTATACGCGCATGCACATGTAGACGCGTACGCGCACCTTCCACAGAGCACGCATGGCGCGACCGAGGCAATGCAAGCAAACGCAGCGCCATCCTTCTGAGTGTATACACGAAGCCTCGCTTGTAATCAACCTTCCCCATACTTGGATCTACTCACCACTTACGACATGACGTTCTGGAGTATACATGCTGTGTACACATTCTGCACATGCTCTGTACAAACTCTGTTCGATACACGCCAGTTCAAACGCCGAGGTTTCCATCCTCGATATCTCCTTCCAGAGCGAGACGAATCGGGCGCCCCCGACCGAACTGCATCCAGATCGTGCTTTTGCCAACTGCACGTCTCGAGATTGCCCCCCCCCGGTCCTCTCCGCCAGCTCTGGATGTTGCTTGTCAGGTCAGCGTCGCCAGGGTACAGCTTCTCCCGCATCTTGGAGCGCGCAATCTTCCGCGGTGGCTCCTGGGCATTCCCGCGAGCCCCCGCTGGCATTGCACTGGAATGCCGAAGAGCAGACTGTCGCAGTGGCAAGTTCAACGTGGGCGCCCTGTTCGGCGGGTCCCAGAAGGACATGCTCTGCTCCAGCGCTCTGTGCACCGAATGGGAGAGGTTCCCAATGTCCTCGCCAGCGGCATCTGCCCCGGCGTCTCGGTCTACTCGCCGTAACTCTGCCATGATGCTGCTGGGGCTGAGGACCGGAAACGCGTTCTCGGGTAGCGCCTCCACCGGCTTCGAGTCCTGGTCGTCCTCGCCCTCGTCGGCGTTCTCCGGCATCGACGTCATGGTGCGGAGCACGTTCGCCCACAGGATGCGGTTGGACGGCGAGACGATGTGGCCGCGAAGGTAGTGCTTGAGGGCTACTCGGAAGCTCGGCGCGCTCCTCCCACCGCGCTGGCGCTTGGGCGGCAAGTTCAGATTCTTCGCTAGCGGAACAGGCCCCCGAGAAGATCCGTACTTGCACACCAATGTCCATGGTCGGAAGTACGCAGACAAAATGGCGCTGCGGCGCTCAGGCGTCATTTCGGGCTAAGGCATGACGGACCCGATGAAGACGGGTAGCGCGGGGACGCCCCGGGGTACAATCACGTACATGTGCGCGAACTCCATGTCGTCTGGGTCTTCTTCGAGCGCAAAGTACCTGCATCCCTCCGCGGGTGGCTTCACGACATAATGGACCCCAGGCCGTGGAGGCCCATCAGCCGCGGCCGGCGGCGAATTCGCCTTCCACTCCGTCGGGCCCGTCGATGGCTTCGAAGCATCTCTTGGTGGCGGGTACGTTGGTACCACCTCGAACAAGCGGACGAACTCGTACGGGCGCAAAGTCTTCAACTCGGCATGATTGGGTCGGTAGGCGTACGCTCGCGCCGTCGCGTCCGGCGGAGTGGCCACCTCGCCTGCGTCCGTGAACACCACGGACCTCTTCTGGCGCCGCGCCGTCGCGCGCCCCGCCCGAGTCTCGTCGGCCACGATCTGGAGGAAGCAGCCCGCGTAGAAGTCGGCGACAGGGCACGACGTGATGCACTCCGCTGCGAGCGGGTTCGGCCTGTCCGCGAAGTGCGCCAAGTTCACCTCCTCGAAGATCGTCCGCGCCACGCCCTTGGCCTCCCAGTCCCCGATGCAGCGGTGCACAGTGTTGAGCGTCTGCTGCATCTCGGACTTCCCATGGAGTCGCTCGGCCAGCGTGGACAGGCAGGTCTTCGCCAGTTCCCGCGCCTTCTTCCCGACGCGCTGCACCTTGGAAATGTACCCGCCGATGTACCGCGAGGAGTTCGACATGGACCGCTGCACCGCGAATGCGATGCGTCGAAGGTGCCCTTCTTCTGTGTCTTCTCTGGAGCCGTGTCGACACAGGCAGTTCGGGTCGTGAGTAATGCCTGTGATCAGCGGGAGCCGGTTGTTCGGCGCCGTGTGCGTGTTGCTCCGAAATGCCACCGCCAATGCTGGACAAGTCCCGCTCAGGAAGTCGTCGTTCCGAGGCCCCGCGATCTCGCCCAACGCACTCCTCGGCCCGTTCACTTTAAGCCCGACTTCCCTGGCCACCTGAGGGCACACAACGCGGAATCTCGGTCCATCTGGGGCCGCCATGAGCATGGTCTTCGGGAAGCCGTGCTTGCACTTGTCGCCGTGTTTGCAGCCTTTCTTGATGCAGTGTGTGAGCGGCTTCCCGTTGGGATGGTGGTGATGCTGGACCTTCGAGAAAATCATCTGCGCATCTGCCTCGTAAGCCTGCTTGAAGGTGGCCGCGTCGGCGTCGCAGGCAACGGCATCGCACCCCTCGTCCCACTTCGTCTTCGGCTCGGCATGGTCCACATACGCGGGCCACCGACACAGACCTACGTGCTCCGATGCGCGGTGATTCTGCCGCCACTCAGACTCCAGCGACGGTAGGCTCTCCCGGTGCTCCTCGGGGGCCCAGTGCTCTTCCCTGTGGACCCACGCGTGCCACACCTTCACCGCGTCCGCCAAGCCAGGGGACTCCCGAATTGTCCTCGCGATCTCAGTCAAGGGTGCGTGCTGGAACATGTTCGCGAGGTACACGAACCCGTGGAAGTGGAGCGTGCCTAGGTGCTGGTTCTCGACGGCGCCAAGCAAAGCTGCAGCAACCCCGAAAATCCCGCCTATGGGGCGCGAGTTGGAGCCGAACTTGTCCGTGCAACAGCACCGGGGCTGCCTACGATATCTTCGCGCGACGCCGCACTCGGCGCACAACCGCAGACCCAGGAGGCGGCCCAAGATCACGTTCACGGCGACGCGGAAGCCCTGAACGACCGAGAGAGGATCATTGGCCACTTCGCACAGACGCAAATCGAAATCGGGGAGCTCCGCGTCGGCGCTCTCCGACAATGACGGCCACTCCCGTGACGCCAATCGTTTCCTCATGGCATTCCGTGCGTCGTCTGTGCACCCCGCGCGCAGCAGCGGGTCGCCCTGGCGTGCTCTGTGTAGACGCATCACCAAGCAGGACTGCTTCTCATTTGGCGAGAGGGTGATGAAAAGCCCGTGCCCGTATCCAATCGCGCCAGACTGGAATACGTGGCCCATCCTGCGACGCAGCTCCTGGGTGCCTGCAAGGCTGCTCGTCACAGAGCGCATGTTGTGCACGATCTGTTTCTGGGTTGTGTCCAGGCCATGCGCCATGTGCAGCACCGTCAAGTTGCCAGCAATTGGCCGCCTGTTCGGCCCGTAGTACCCCTTCGCCAACAGGTCGTGCAAACCGCGGACAGCCGTGGTCAGGCGCTCCGTGAAAGCGGATCCGTCTTCGTCCTTGTACTTCCTGACTTTGCTCCCCAACCTCGCGGTGATGCCCAAAAAGCGGAAGTGGACATTGCGCATGCCTGGGATGAAGAGCCAGTCCGATCGGATCTGGTGTTCCACTCGGCGACTCATGCCTGCAAGCCACATCCCCATGCTGATGGACGGCCGGTTTTGCACTTCCTCGGGCCGCCCCACCGCGCGGCGCCGATGTGCGGCATCGGCACCGTTGCGCCAAGACCTCGTGAAGTCTGGCCCCCCGCTCTGCCACAGCAGCGTGTGCGGGAAAGCGATCGCGGGGTACTTCCCGTTCCACTGCTCCAACATGGCCGCGTCGGCGACGTACGGGACGACCGGCCCGCCGTCCATGGCTCGCTGTTGGCGCTGACCCGCGGTCCCTTGCCGGGACGTCGAATCTGTGGGCGCGCAGGCGGTCGGTCTGGCATCGTCGAAAACAGAGGCGACGTCAGTGCTGGCCAGCGCCGGAGTCGCGTGCTTGTTATCCTGCACACTGCTCCTGGACGGATCCGCCACCCCCGTCGCCCGGTCCACGGCTGGCGGGACCTTCCCGTCGGTGTCCTGGGGGGTGCCGAGCCACGGGTAGCACTGCTTCACGCGCCTTTCAAACGCCTCCTTGGCAGCGGCGATTGCGATGGGATTGCCAGCATCTCTACAAAAAGCGGGGTGGCCGCGGTCGATGAGCTCCCAGCCGAGCTGCAGCACCACATGAGCGCGGAGGCGCATGTGCTTCAGGTGCTTCGACACGTCCTTGTCTTTCATCCGGAACTCGAAGCGAACCAAGTGGGCCAGCGTCTCGCCGTCGTGGGGCAGCGCCGCAGCAGCACTGGAACTCTCCGTGATGGCGAGCAGGCGCTCCAGGACGTCGTCCCAATGCACCAGGAAGCTGGCCAGATTACCGCGGACAGCGTACCGACTGTGCGGATGCATGGCCTCTGGGGTTCGCCGTGCGAGCAGCGCGCCACTACCCCCCGTGCGCCACTCGGCCACACTGCAGTTTCCAGGGGGGGCGGGGTCCGCAAAGAACAGAGAAGGGGCAGTGCCGCGCTACTTCGCGCAGCTCGCCTGATTGTTCATGAGGTGGCCCTTATCGCCCTCGACGTAGAACGCCATCAAACTCGTCCACACTGGCGTGGCCGCGGCCATCTCGATCCACCGGGGCTTGTGCTTCTCCCACCATGCCGACACGAACCCGACAAAATTGTCGTTGGCGATGGCGGGACGCGGGATTCGCTCCCGCACCGTTCGCGTCTTCGCGAAAATGCCGCGGCACTGCCAGCACAGAGGTACGCGGCACGACTCGCACAGCTCATCAACAACTCCATGCTGACGGTCGCACACCACGTCTTCCGGGCAGCACAGGAAGCGCATGGAGTTCTGGCTTCCGTTCGGACCATTCCACCGCACCGTTCGCACCCACGGCGAAGACGCGGTTGTCTGCGTCGGATAGTGGTGCGACCGCGTCCCGCGGTGGTCCGGAGCAGGGTGCGGGAAGTGCGCCAGGAACGCGTCCAAGCCGAAGGCGTACTCCAGGAGCTCACGCGGACAACTGCGCAAGAGCCCGCGCAGTGGCGTCCATCCAATCTCACTGACTCCAGCGGACTCGGGGTCCTCGACACTCGTGTAGATCTGACCGCAGCAGAAGCACACCAGCGACGACAAACAAGCATCGTTCGCCACTTGCCTCATGGTGCGAATTGCCCGCCGGTCTCTGCAAATGCCGAGAGCTGGCATGCCAGTGCGCGCCCGGACCTCCACCGCCTGGCAGTAGATGGACCAGATCCACGCTTCCTGCTCCTCCAGCACCTCGGCATGGACGCCGACATCGTCGGCGCTGTCAGCGAGTCTCTTGTTCCACCCCTGCCTCCACGCTGCTGGGAGGCAGGCCTGGTGGCAGCTGATTACGTGGCGCCGCAAATCCCCTTCCGTCTCCCCGGTCCAGCGGCGCTGCCGAACGGCGCAGTTGCAGATCGGCCACTGCAATCCGTCCATTACCTCCTGGATGTTGTCTGCGGCGTCCGACGGGTCGAACGGCGGAGGAAGCGTCGGGTCCTGCCGGAGAAATGCAGAGAAAGCCCGAGCTGCTTCGTGGGCGACGTCCAGCGTCGTGTGCGCCACGTCGGCGCCGCAGGCCAAGTGGTCAACGTCGGACTGCTCTGACCCGGCAGGGGCCTCCGACAGCTCGGAATTGGAGTCCGACGCCGGCTCTGAGGGCGATGACTCCCGGTCGGCGTCGGAGTCAGACTCGGGGGCCTCCGCGGCTGCAGCGGCATGCTCTTCGCGTTCGCCCTGCGGTCGGAGACGCCCTGACGCGGCGCGCGGCAGCCGCGCCCCGTCGGCGGCCTGCGGGCGCGCGTTGCTGCCGGAACTCGCGCCCGCCGCACTCCCTCTCAGTGAACTGCAAGCGCCCGGACGCCTCGGCTCAGGATGCGGCGGCGGCGGAGAAGGCGCCCGAGCGGGCGCGCCAGCGGAAGAGTCTGCCGCGCCGACTTCATGGCGCGAGCGTGGAGGCCGGGGTTCAGGATGCGGCGGCGGCGGCGGAGGTGGCAGCGGTGGCGCGGTCTCCACTCCCAGAGGGTCGTCGAGAATACGTAGAACCTGATGACAGAAAGCCGCCACGTCCTCCTCGCCGAATAGCGCATCCACGACAGCGAAACACGACGGGTCGCTGAACTTCCCCCGGCACGCGGTCGACGGCTCCCACGGTCGCGGAGCGTTAGCTCCTGACGTCGCCACGTCCACCGCATCGTAGTGTGAATACCCGTCGACGTCATAGTGGACAAAAGCAAAATCGAGCACTGGGATTTGCGCACGTCCCTGCAGCAACCCCTGGTCCGGGAAGATGGCCGCCTGGCTCCACGCGTTGAATGGCACGTACAGAGCGAGAGCGCCACAAGCCTCCAGGAAGCGCGTGATCACAACAGCGTCTGCATATCGGCGCGTTGCCGACACGTCCTCCGAATGGAGGCCCATGCATATGTCCACGTAGAACACCTGCAGTGGGCGGGGGCAAGAGATAACGCGGGGGTCACTGCGACTCCGCCATTGAAAGCCAGACCAGTCCCCCAAAAAATTCCTTCGCCCGAGTGAACGCATAAGCGCGGCCCCAGACGCCCTCTCGGCAACGCCCCGACGGCCCCGCCCTCAGAGTTCGAAAGCATCGCGTGCCTCCTGTGCAAGCACTATTTGGGAAATGTGCTCCTGGATCTCCGGGCTCCGCGAAGGGCACCCCTTCCTCCCCGTGCCCGCGGCGCCACCTTCCAGTTGGGGAGACTGCCCCACGCGACGCCACTGGCCACCTGCGCTGGCAACACCTGCTGCAGGCGGGCCCTCCTCTCCACGGCGTACTCGTCCAGCTGCAGCGCCTCGAACAATTGCTGGTTCCGCTGCTTCATCATCTTCACCAGCGTCCATCTGTACAGCTTCCAAGCCGCGCGGCCTGGAAGTCCCAGCTCGGCAGCCGCAGCGCGGAAAAAGCACAGCCCGTCTCCACGAACAGGGCGCACGGACAGCCGCATCCCTGGCCGCGTCGCCGAGAGCAGATCAGCCACGCGACCCAGCGACTCGTTGGCGCAACTAATGCGGGACCGCCTGATGGCCTCCCCGTCATCGTCGAGCCCAACCTCGCTCACGCGCGCCTGGTCGACTGCGAACTCCTCGTCGCTCGACTCCGCCATGGCGCGCCAGAAGCGTCGCCGCCCCGCGGGCCAACTGGGCAGCCCTGACTGCGGCAAGACTGGACCCCGGAGCCGCTATCGAGCCCACATGGTTTACAGATGCCGCGCGCGCTGAGATGGGCCATTGTGGGACGCACGGCTAATGGACGAATTCCGATGCGACCTCAGGTTGCGCGGCGCTCGGCGCATGCTCCGGGGTTGTTTTCAAAATGGTCTTGCATTGAAGCGTGATTTTCGGAAGGGCGCTCGCAGACGCCACGCAGCCCCCTGGGGCACCACGATCCCGGAAGTCTAAAAGGACCTGGGGTTCACAGAGACAGAATGGATCACAACCTCCGATGCCCCAGCGAACGTGCTGCCCGCCCACAGGGGTCGGATCAAAAGGCCTCGAAGGTGCAGCCAGGAAGCAGAATCACAGAGCCCGAGATCGGCTTGGCCATCGCTCCCCGGAGTATCTCCCGCGGTCACTGCGGGTTCGCATTGAAGTTTAAACGCGACCTCAGGTTGCGGGACAGACAACGCAGAAGTTCCCCAGCAGTGATGAAGACGATGGTGGTGCTCATGATGGTGACCGTTATCGTGTGGCCTCGTGCGCCGGCGAGTGATGATGACGATGGTGGTGCCGGTGATGGTGATGCCGATGGTGGTGTTTGTCGTCCTGGTGGTGCTGATGATGGCAGGTAGGATGATGATGGCGAGGCTGATGATGAAGGAGGTTGCTTTCAAAAATCGGACAGACCACTGGGATAGCTTCAGAAAGATGAGGGAGGGAGGATTTTGCAACAGCGCTGGACGTACAAGCCTAGACCGAGCGTTTGGGGTTATGGCTGCTTTCGCTTTTTATTGTGCTCGAAAAAGGTCAAAGCTAATGTACATGCAGCACCGTGCGAGCAGCTGCGGATCGAAAGTCCCGATAATCATGGGAGCGCGCTGTATGGCCGACGGGGGGAGCTGGAAAATGTTACTACCTGAGCGCTGGACTACCTGAGCGCTGGAACGAGTCATGCGGGTTCACCCCTCAGTGTCAAGAGATGTGCAAGCACGACGAGGCGTTGGTCAAGAGGCCTGGTCAAAACTGCAAAAACTGCCGGTGCGCAGCCAAACATAAAAAAAAAAAAAAAAAAAACAAAAGAACTACCACCACAAACAAACATAAAAAAAACTGAAAAAACAACCAAAAAACAAACAAACAACACAAAGAGAAATAAAAACACTAAAACGCAGAAATTAAAATCAAGGAAAAAAAAACAATAAAAAAACAAACGGAAACCAAATCAAAAAAGCAATAGAACAAAGAACACAAAAAAATCAGTCGATATAAAAAATAAAAAAAAAAAAAAACAAAAAATAAAAAAGAGAAAGAAACAAAACAAAAAAAAAAAAAAAGAAATAAGGCAAAGCTGGTTCTAGCCGAGTCTGTGGCTCGGCAGTCGTGGCGCGGAGAGGGCAAGGCTGGTTGTAGCCGAATATACTCGGGGGTTGCCAGGGGTGCCCCCGGCCCAATGCGCTTCTGGCTTCTCGTGCCATTTTAGAGCCCCCAGGGCCCACTGACCCCCGCGAGGAGCGCTCTGGAGGCCGCGGGGGCCCCCGCGGAACTTCTGGGGCACCTTGGGCCAAGGACACCTTGAGCATCATCCGATATAGCGCCGGCCAGCCTGCGCTCGGAGCGGCGCTACTTCCCGGCGCCGCCCTGGCGCGGCACGGCCGCGGCAACCGCGGCGAGGGCGTCGAGGTTGAGGGCGCTCACTGTCTCCGCGTTCTCCATGGGCTCCAGGGCGCGCAGGAGGTCGCCCGTGGGGGGGCTGTCGCGCACGAGCACAAGCAGAACCTCCAGGCCGTCGAGCAAGGGCTCCAGCCCGTCGAGCTTCGCCATGTCGTCCGCCAGCATGGCCGCCTGCGCATCTGCCTGCAATGATTCGAGGAAGCGATCAAGCTTCGCCACGATCTTCGCAACGGCCGCCTCCGGCGACATGTCCCTCGCCGCCGCCGCGGCTGCCATGTCCCCCTCGATGATCGTCAGGCGCTGCGCCCACTCGAGCCTTCGAACGGGGGTTGCATTTCCCGAGGCAACGCGCCCTCTGCGCCGCCGCATCGGGAGCGGTGCGCGGGGATCGGGAAGACCGCGACATGAACGCGATAATCATAGCCGCGCTTGCCTTCCCGAGGCGGAAACGCCCGGGCGCCCCCCCCGAAAATGCAACCCTCGCGCGGCAACCTGTCGGCCGGGAAAGCCGCCGCCGGCCAGCGAGACACGGTGCCCGCGAGCGCCTCCGCGCCGACCCCCGGCATCTCCACGAAACGCTTGACCGCGGCAGCGATGTCCAGCTGAATGCCCTTGAACGCACGGTATTTCGCCCTCTCCGCAGACTGCGCTGCGCTCCGCGCTTCCCCCGCTGCGAACGCCGTCGCCGCCTCGAGGTACGCGCCCACCGTCACCTCCGCCGCGGCGGCGGGCGGCGCCGGGACGGCGTGGGCCAGCGGCGCGGCCGCGGGCGCCGGCGCCTGCGCATCCCCGGCGACGCCCGCAGGCGGAGCCACCGCCGGGACCGCCAAGGCTCCGCCGCTGGCCATTGAAGCGGCACCGACCGCCGGGGCGCCCGCGGGCGCACGCGCCGGGGGCACGGCATCCGCGCCCGCGCCAACCGCCGCCAACGTCATCGCCATCGACGCGGCAACGCCGCCCGCCGTCGCCACCTGGGACGCGCTGGCGGCGCGCGTCACTTCCGCCGCCGCGGCCGCTGACGGCGGCGCCGCGCCAGCGCCAACCGCCTCCACCCCCGCCGTCGGCGATTCAGCGACGCCGCCCGCCATCGACATCTGGAAAACGCCGGCGGCGGTTGTCTCTTTCGCCATCTCTGCCTGCGCCCCGCGCTGCCCCGCATCCACGGACAGCGTGGCCGCGGCGAAGTGCTCCGCGATGAGTTTGTCCTCGCGCGCCTTCACCTTCGCGGCCACTCCGGTCAAGTCCGTCGCCGGGGCGCAGGCCGTGAAGACGGACCGGAACCGCTCCACCGCGCAAGCGCATAGAGCTCCAGACGGGACGAGGAACGGGTACTCCTGCACCAGATCGAGGAGCCCATCGACGTACTTGTCGGCGACCAGTCCCACTGGGCGAATCTGCACGGAATGCCACGACGTCCACCTGGAATGGTTCGTGGAATTCGTGTTCTCCCGGAACAGCAGCTTCGACGCTCCGCCCTGGTGCGAGAACCCTCCTGGGCGGCCAACGGCATTTACGCCCATGGCCTCGCCGATCAGTTGGCGCAGCACGGCGCGGAACTCCTCGAAGGTCTGCGTGTACATCCCGAAGCACCACGCACCTGGGGCATTCGCAATGCCGCCCTCTGCCGTTTCCTGGACGACAGCAGTAGGGTTGTCCTGGTGCGACGGGCTCATGTACTCGGCCACGACGTTCTGCGGCAACCCAGCATTGAATGCTGTGGCCCACTCGGGGACGTTGGCCGCATTCTTGGAAATCAAGCCGGACATCCAACGAACTGCGTTCTTGGACTCCTTCCTGCAGACAAGCTCGTCCGCATCCGCGAGCACTCCGACGATGCCGCCATCAAATGCCAGGCCCTTTGCCTGCACACTGACGTCGAAGAATACCTCCAGCACCATGGCCTGGACCTTCGAGTTCGCGTCCATCTTGCGGGCCTTCAGCGGGGAGCCACCGGCCGACTGGAGGAACGAGGTCACGCTGAGGAAGTCAACGCGAGTTCGCTTGCCTGAGAGAACGCCTTGGTCCGAAGTGGCTGCGGGACTTCCACCTTGCCTTCTCTTTCAGATGGACAGCCTTCATCTGCAGGGCTCTTGGCGTCCACGACGGCCCCATATGCCTCCACAGTGACAGTAGGACGCCCAGAAGAGGCTCCCAATAATGCCTCCGCAGACCCAAAAGTGACCCGGCAGGCCTGCAAAATGGCGCAGCTCGCCCACGCGCATGAAAAGATATCCCCAGAATGCCTCCGAATAAAATCAAATGATATAGCAGCGGTGCTGCGAAGACAGGAACGAATCCCACAGACGGGCCAAAGTAGCCCCAAGAGGCCCCAAGAAGGCCCCACAGATCCTCCCACGAACCCGCGAAAATGGCGAGCGGCCCCAAAGAGCCCCCGATGGGAAGAACGACTGCATATTACTTGAACCTTTTCTACCCACCATATGTCCCCCAAAGAAAAGGGGATAAAAGACAAAGAAGCCTCGTCCCGCTGGGCTACCGAAAATACCACAAAAAGGTTCCAACGATGCTCGCGATGAGCAGCCCCCCAAAGCGGCTCGCCCTAAGTATCTGACCGCGAAGGTGACCCAACTAAAGGTCGGCTTGAAAAGTAGGGACCCCAAACAGAGTGCCTCTAGAAACCACGAGAGGCCGCCCAACATAGTGCCCCAAGTAACCAGCCAAAGGGTGCCCCCAACCAAGTCGGGGAAACGGCCAGCATAACAACGTAGCCTTGGATCCCAGGCATGGAGCATCAAGGACGGCCGACACGGCCATATCGCAACGTGAAGGCTGAGTGACTCTGAATGTGAGTGAGTCTGAATGTGTATGTGTCTTCGCGTGTGAGTCTGAATATGACTGAGCACACTGTTACTGTATCTGGGTGTGAGCGGTATGCGGAAGACTCAGTCAGGGAATCAGAGAATCTGAGTTGGAGTCTGAATGGGCTGTAGGGCTATAGGGCTATAGGGCTCTAGAGCTATGCGGCTATAGGGCTATAGAGCTATGCGGCTATAGAGCTATAGGGCTATACGGCTATAGGGCTCTAGGGCTCAAGGGCAAAAGGGATATAAGGCTATAGGGCTATAGGGCTATAGGCCTATAGAACTATAGGGCTACAGGGATATAGGGCTATGGAGCTATACGGGTATGGGGATATAGATGTGAAGGAATATCGGACTACATTGCTATATGGGCTATTGGGCTATTGGGCTACAGGACTATAGGGCTAAAGGGTTATAGGGCTATAGGGCTATAGGGCTATACGGCTATAGGGCTA